CAGAAAGGAGAAGGAGGGGGTGTAAAACAACAGTGAGACAGGAAATGAAAGTTGGGGAAGGGGGAGGGAACCACTGAACATGCCAGACGCTGAGATCCTTCCCAGGACTCTTGGCATGAACATGTTGCTATTGTTCACCCGTCGCACGCACGTGCGAGAGGCTTTGTGTGCGCAGGATGGAAGAGGGTGAATTCCCAAATTTGGACAGGGGGAATTCTTAGGAAACTGGGCTTTTGAGTGACACTCTGTGCTGGAGTCTAGTAGGCTTCAGAGCAGAGAATGATGGGAGACAGGTTCTCTAGAATTTCACTAATGGGAGAAGTATGTCTAGCAGTGAAAGCAGTTGTTTTAGGAAACAAGAGAACTAAACCTTTCGAAAGGCTTGAGACTAGTCAGTGCTTTTTTGTTTGTTTTTTAAACCAGTGCTGGTACTTATGTACAATGTTGTGCTGATTTCCACCAATTACCCTCTCAGGACTTGGGAGAGTCCCTCCCCCCAAAAAGGTGCCCTCAGTGAGTACCACCACAAAAGAAAACCCTTGAGGTTAGTTGACAAAAGCTTGAGAGCAGCCAGGACTGCTGGGGTTTTTTGTTGGCTTGTTTCAGATTAGAATTGTTATCTAGTGGCTGCAGCAGGGAGCCAGCCAGGCTATGTGGGTTTTGGTGCAAAGTGTGGGCTTAGTGATTCAAAAATAGTGGAATGGTAGCTAGGTCTGTTTGGTTCTGTTCCCAGATTTGGAAAGCAGATGGGGTGGCCAACCTCCAGGTGGGGCCTGGGGTTCTCCCAAAATTACAAGTGAACTCCTAGCTACAGGAACTGGTTCCCCTGAAGGGACTGGCAGTTATGGAGCGCAGAGTCTATGGCAGGGGTGTCAAACATATGGCCCATAGGCCAGAACTGCCTTGAGGAGGTCACAGGGGTGGCAGGATATACATTTCCCTAATAATAAATGTTCTATATAAATAATAAGATCCATCTGTCAGTCTGTCAGTCGTACACCCATCTGTGGCACACGTAACTCCGCAGAAAATGAAGCTAGGAGTCTCAAGATTGACTACCAACTTCAGGATGGTTATAGGAGTTGCAGTGCCAAATGTTAAGGGAATCAAACATCCTGTCCTACAGAATCTCCAGAAACTTTACACGCACACACACACACACCACTTGTTGTATTCAAACAAATTTAGAGTCCGGTGGCACCTTTAAGACCAACAAAGGTTTATTCAAGGTATGAGCTTTCATGTGCAAGGCACACTTTTTCAAATGCACTGGAATGGTAGATGAGGTTCTAAACTTATAGACAGCAAATTCACATGTAAGGTGATGTTGTCCTCTGCCAGGAACGTCTCGCGCCCCCAATAATGCATAACGGGGGGTGGAAGTGGGAGGGTGGGCATCAGGGAGATACTGTAAGGAAATGCTGTGAAAGTGTTAATGTATACGCATGTTGGAATTCTGAGTAAAAAAATTATATTGTTGATGGGTTTGCCTGTGTCCTTTATAAAGTTTGTATCTCTAGTACCTGGCATTACATCTTATGGCACACATGGCCCAGTCCAACAAAGTGACATTTATGTCAGATCTGGCCCTCGTAACAAATGAGTTTGACACCTCTGCTCTATGGCACAGCATCCGCAGTGAGCTCCCTCCCCTTCCTGAACACTGCCTTTTCCAGGTACTACCCCCAAATTCTCCAGGGATTTCCCAAGCCAGAATTGGCAAATTTTGTGTGTGTGTGAGAGAGAGAGAGAGAGAGAGAGAGAGAGAGACAGACAGACAGACAGACAGACAGACAGACAGACAGACAGACAGACAGACTAGTCACTTTGGGAATCCCCAAGCAGACTTGCAGACACTCATAACATTGGGGAACGAATGCTCCCAAACACTCCGGTGCCCAATTTGGCTCCAGCGTGTGGAATGGGGGAGAGGGGCTTTAGTTTTCCATCCTGTGCCATTTTCCCCAAGCCAAAATGGCTGTGGGTGGACCTGTTTGCCTTACCAATTAGGGTTGCCAGCTCTGGGTTGGGAAATATCTGGAGATTTCGTGGGTGGAGCCTGAGGAGGGAGGTGAGAGACCTCAGCAGAGTATAATGCCATAGAGTCCACCCTCCAAAGAGGCCATTGTCTCCAGCCAGGTGAACAGATCTTGGTCATCTTGCTGAAGATCAATTGTAAAGCGGGAGATTTCCAGGTGCCACCTGAAGGCTGACAGCTCTACTCACCATCAGCTCCACATATTGTAGTCGGTGTGCTACAATTCTGGTTTCAGGACGTCCTGGAGATTTGAATGGTGCCTGGGGAGAGTGGAGTCTGGGGAGGGGGGGGGAAGCTCAAGGAAGATGTGGGGCCCTAGCAAACTGTCATAGGGGAACTGTGTCTAGATGTCAATTGTAATGCTGGGACAACTCCAGGTCCCACCTTGAAGTTGGCAACCCTAACACTACTGCCAACTCTCAATCCACTTGGCTGTAAATCTACATGGGTCCCATGACCCAGGAATAACCTCCACTGGGATCAGAAAGGACTGCTAGAGAGATGGGAACACAGGAAAAATCTGCACACAGGAACCCAGGGGAAAATTGCAAACATCAGCATTTTCTGCTGACAGCTCACCCCCATTGTGGTTTTACTGTATGTTTTTAGTCTGTGAGCTGCCTTGCGGAGGTCACAGGGGTGGCAGGATATACATTTCCCTAATAATAAATTTTCTATATAAATAATAAGATCCATCTGTCAGTCTGTCAGTCGTACACCCATCTGTGGCACACATAACTCCTCAGAAAATGAAGCTAGGAGTCTCAAGATTGACTACCAGCTTCAGGATGGTTATAGGAGTTGCAGTGCCAAATGTTAAGGGAATCAAACATCCTGTCCTACAGAATCTCCAGAAACTTTACACGCACACACACACACACCACTTGTTGTATTCAAACAAATTTAGAGTCCGGTGGCACCTTTAAGACCAACAAAGGTTTATTCAAGGTATGAGCTTTCATGTGCAAGGCACACTTTTTCAAATGCACTGGAATGGTAGATGAGGTTCTAAACTTATAGACAGCAAATTTAACAGCAAATTCACATGTAAGGTGATGATGTTTAAGTTATGCAAAGTGAAAAACTAAAGAACAAGTTAAGGTTATAAGGTCAACAGTTGTAAAGCAATATATATGTCAAAATAGCAGATAAATGTCTAAAGGTGTTTTTTCTAATTGTGGGAAGTAACAGAATCTTAATTATCTCTTCTCAGGCATGAAGGGTGCATGGAAGGCACTTAACAATATATTTTGAGCTGGATGTGATGTTGTCAGCAGACATTCATTCAGTATTCTAATATACTGTTCTGAAAAAGAAATACACTAAAATACAGAGGATTTATAGTCCTTCTTGTTGAGAATACATATGTGAGGATTGAATGAGTTAGCATATGTAATGGGATAAAAATCCAGTATCCCTGATGAGTCCTGGGGAGGTTTTTGTTCCAAGTGTTATATTGCATTGCATTGCATTGCATTGCATTGGAATCTATGGTTTTCTCTGGCAGGCATTACTCATCTAAAAAGTAAAGCTGGGTGTGTCAAAGTTGATCCTGCCTTCAAGATGATGGTGGGAGTTAATGTGTCAAAAACAAAGGGAACTAGAGTGTCCTGGCCTGGGTTATCTGCAGAAGCCACCGAATGCTACTTGCAATGGAAGCTAGTTATCTTGTGGCAGGCATAACACACCTAAAAAAATGCTAGGAGCCTCAGAACTGGCCACCAATTTTACGATGATGGTGGGCCTTGCCATGCCAAAAATGAAGGGAATAGGACCATTCTGGCAGAGAAAGGACCCAAACATCCATCAAAAACAAAGGGAACTAGAGTGTCCTGCCCTGGGTTATCTGCAGAAGCCGCCTAATGCTACTTGCAATGGAAGCTAGAGCTATCTTGTGGCAGGCATAACACACCTCAGAACTGGCCACCAATTTTACGATGATGGTGGGCCTTGCCATGCCAAAAATGAAGGGAATAGGACCATTCTGGCAGAGAAAGGACCCAAACATCCTTTTGGTATTTGCAATAGAAGCAAAGGTTTGCTCACAAGAAGCCAGCAAGTACAGGCAGCACAGACAGAGAGGGTTTAGTTATTTCCATGACCTATCAGAGCTTGTGTGGTGTGGTGACTAGCATCTAAGAGACCCAAGTCTGATTCCCCCAGTCTGCCATGGAAGCGTATTGGGTGACTGTGGGCCAAGCACACTCTCTCAGCCTAACAGGTCTCACAGGGCTGTTGCCATGAGGAGATAATGGAGGACAGAAGAATGATATGAGCCACTTTGGGGTCCACATTGGGGAGGAAGGTAGCACAGACAGGGGGAATTGACAATATTCCCTCCTTTACAAAAGAAAGTGGGTTTAAGAACCTTGCTGAGCTATGAAAGCCAGTTCTGTAGTGGTTAGAGTACCTAATTAGCATCTAGAAGACTCAGGTTTGAATCCCACCTCTGCCACAGGTGTTTGCTGGTTCCACCGCCACTGCCATTGTTCCCAGCCTAACCTACCTCACAGCTTTGTTATAGTGAGGATAAACAATGCAAGCCAATTTGAGGAGAAAGATGGCAGATGACATTTGTTCTAAATCTAATTCTGCCTACTGCTCTCGAAAAAAAGGACGGTCACTCTGGCTGTTGCTGAATCCAGTATTGCTGCAGCTCTTTTGACAGAAGGCAGAACGGCTCATTCAGTATTCAAACTATCCTTAATTGTTGCAAGCTCAGCAAGCTCCAGGGTTGGTGACCGGGGAAGTGGACACACCTCTGATTCATTAATGATACTAATCTTTTGTTTTTGATTATCTAACTTTGACTTTACTGCGGGCATCTCCACTGGCTCAATTTGGGTTTCCCAGATAAATTAAACAAGAGATCACCAGCGTTGATGAAAGCCAGCTGGTGTCTCTTGG